TTTCATGATTTCAATTTGTTTCTTCGCCATTTTCCCACCATATAGTACGCTGCTAGTATTTTAAACCGAGTTCCAATTATCGTGCCATATGCCTTTAAGTAACGTCCGAGCTAGTAGGGAATGGATTGGAGATTGATGAGCGTTTTCAGACGGTGCGTTCGAAACATAAGTATCTTTTAGAACATAGTAGGCCACACCTGCTAGTACTGATAAGAGGTTAGTGCTGAATGAAAGTCCGTCCAGGTCCATGATTAGCAAGCCACCGCTCTGTTGGTCCAGTCGACGCTCTTCTTTTTCAACACGTTGCTGTAGACGTTCCATAGTTCGGAATTTCATGCGCAGAAATCGAGTAGCCTGAAATTGACCCCATTATGGAAGTTGTTGACGGAAATTTCGAGGTTCCATAGCTTCAGAATAACATGCAGCAGTGGCGGTGAGGGGTTTCCATTTTAGCGAACCCGTTTTGAATTTCATAAGAAGTTATGAGCAGGAAAAATTGACCCCGCTTGGATTCGAACCCGCACTTCACACTTACCGGGCAAGTGCGCTGTCTATTACGGCACTAGGACCGCTCTCACCCACTCAGTGATTTTTGAGGAAACCGTAAAGAATCACTTACTCTTATGTTGTCTACCACTCCGTTCAAGTCGATTTTTCCGCTTTGTTCAAATAAGAAGGATCTGAAAATGTATTGCATTTAACTGTCTAGATATGTTGACTTTTGAAATCATGGAACAAACGGAAATTATTCAAAAGATTTGGTGCTGCTCGGCTTAGGGGGAACAACGGGTATTTTTCACGTTCGCTGATCCCTTTGTTTAGTTCATCTTGACTAACAGGTCTCGCTTTGGTGCCTGTCAGCCCCTGTGAAGCTGTAGAGCCGTACAATTGAGCTACTCTAGCTGTAGGAATTTAGTAGGAATTTACTGGTTAGGGTAGCACGCAGAAACAGTAACTAACTGACAGTAACTGAGTACCGTTCACAGCACCCACCAAGCAGAACTGCGCCAAAGACTTCACAAAATTTTGTGGGCAGGCTCCGGAGCGGTAAAAACGCTGAAGAAGAAGAAAAAGTGACGCAGGGCCTGATTATCATCTTGAGTCAATTGTCCTCGAATTGTACTGAACCCTTTTCTTGTCCCCTTGGGTTCAAAACTTTCCAAGACCTGGCCGATTTTTACTTTCCTTCGTTAAACCATTGGAATTCTTTCTCAGTATCGTTAAGACTGGGTCAGTTTCTGAGCATACAGCTGATCTGTACCTTATTGTCATCAATTCGATTTCTTCCAAGAATCGTCAACGGGGCGTATTTTTCAGCTTCGTCGTCAATATTTTCACCTTTGGCGTTTGGCAACGACGTCAGCGACATAATTTCACGAATATTGAGATGGCGTCGTAGGACCTGAATGTTTAGAAGGTTTCAGTAGTTTATGGAACGAGTATGAAAGGATGAAGCGTGAAGGGTCAAACTCCGCTTCTCAGGGACATTTCATCTTCTTTTCTCTGCAAAAGCGACTGTGTATAACCTTCAATAGTTGCCCACATCGCACCTCAGTCGACACCTGAGCTCTGGGAAAGGTCGTAATATGGCAGACAGGTAAGAAAGGTTCGTACCACATAAGGAAATTCTGGGGGTATGGTAGCGAAAAAAGTCCAGAACGTGATGATATGCCCTAATCTGAACGTCAGCTACCGCCGGCTAACAAATAGCTTACTAAGCACCCAGCCCGGGAGGGAAGGAAGCTTGGGTGCGGAATCCGGTTCTTCCAAATCTGGGGCTGACTGATGAAGATGGAATAGTCGCGGCGCATACTCAAGAAACTCAAACAAAGGTGAAGAAAGTGGACCTTATGTCACGATTCAGGATGCACCGACCTTTGCCGTTTCCTCTTCATTACCTTCGTAGGCAGTGAGCCAGCGCTGAACGTTGTAATCGTGCTCACAGTACGGATGCCCTTTCCCACCGGCCAGTTGACGTACCCGTTCCACAGCGGCCAGCTCGTCAGCGCTCAGCGGCATCCTGAAAACCGCGATATGAGTGGTGATCTTGAAAAAACTTCTGCTCCGTTTTCTTGTGCAACTACACCGCAAACTGCCATTAAACGTCTGTGATCGCTAATAAGTACACCCCATATCCGGAGATGGAGAGGGCGTGGCTGCGTACTTCATCTGAAGAGTGGGCGGCTGCGTTTCTGGTGAGATGAGGTTGATGAGATGTATTCATGTCTTTGTCGCAGCACAAAGCATAATGTTCAGTTTGTCTCATAAATATTCAACGAAAGCTTCCTACGTCATAGTTTCAAGCAAAGTACTCAGCCACGCCCACCTCATATCGGCATGACACTGCGAGCGTTATGTGGCAAATCACGACAGTTGAACGTACAACGCGAAAAGATTAAGTTGAGTCTTAAATAACTCAAAAAAGCATAACAAAAATCGTAGCGCACTAGCGAAGTTTTCGTGGAACGCAATCTTATGTGATATTCGAGCAGGATCAAGCAAAAAATATAAAAAATATCAAGAAAAAGACTTTTCAACGAGTAAACTGCTTACTAACTTAACTTAGTCTGTAACAAAACTTGCAATGAAAAGAAAAGAAATAGAATGATTTGCTGATACTTATTATAATTTACCAATTTGCCTTCATTTGAAGGCGGGCTGCTGTGGGAGGAGGCGTTGGGGATGCTTGGCGTTGCTAAGTCGCTTTGGGCGCGTGTTTTGTTTCAAACTCTGTGTGATCTTTTGTTCATGCTCACTACTTTTGAATGTATTGCTGTACAGTGATGGCAGTGGGCACATTGAAAACTTGTCCAGAAATTATTTCAGCTATTTCAGCCTGCCTTTCTGCGGTGTGCCTACTGACGCGATCCATCCATACTGAAATCTTCAACCCAGACAGAGGGCGTGATCCGTCTGTACTTCAGGAAAGCATTTCTACTCAAAGGCAGTGGGCACATTGCTGGAGGCGGGCGGTTGTTGCCTGCGTCACTGGCGGAGAGCCTACAGGAAGTTGGCGAAACTGCCCATGATGTTGTGAGAGAGTAGCCAAACGCTTTCTCGCAGCCCTTTCGCCAATGGCGCTTTCAACAACCGCCCTCCTCCAGCAAACATGCTGTTTGCTCTCAGACGGATAACATAGCATTGTTGACGTTCATACTGTCTTTCCGCCACTCGGTAGCGTCGATACCAGCAGGAACTTTTGTAACTGCAGTTGTATACCTCATGCTGAATGCGAAATGGGCGCTGTTCGATTTGGGAGGAGCATTTTGCACCTTCGCTGTTCCCTTTCACTTGTTCTTGTTAAATTACACGTCTTACCATGACGAGGCCTGTGGACCCTTATCAAGTGTAAACGAAGTTCCAGCTACTGCATAGCTCTACAAGAATTCACAGGCCTTCAGAGGAGGCATCGGCAGTGATCCAAGAGAACTAGCAGAATGCCCCCATCAAGCCGAATTGTGCCAACAAATCTGTCCTTTTTGTAACAGCTTAATTGAGCGTTTCCCTTCATAATGCAACTTTACTAGTGTAATATTGTCGATACATTGCTGTACTGAGCTGTAACGTTTCCAGCATAGTGTTCTGGATAACACTTTTTCAGGTCACAATTTCGAGGGGTAGAATCTGTCCTTGGTTTTGGCCCTAAGTTTCTATTGTTTTCAGCCCTGAGTTCCTGAAGGAAGAAAAGAGAAGTGAACGCCAGCAATCTATCTTCACTGACAAGACTGTAGCGGGAGGAAGAAGGGACCCGTTCATATTAATTGTTCTGAAGTGTCGCCGGATTGTGTCGTTGATATTGTAGAGAAAAAAAATCGAATTTTTATAGTTTCTGACACTACTGCATTATAAAATACAGAATAAGTACTTCCCTTGGAATAATACACAAATCACAGAGTGCTATCAAAAACCGCATTAGTAACCTTGGGGAAGGGAGGAGCATTATAAAGGTTCCCTTGCGCAAAATCAGACAACGGAGATGAGAACTGTTGTTAAGCTGAAAAGGCGAAGGAGTTCCGGGATGCACGAACCAGATCAAAGTACGGTAGTTCTATTTGGATGACGGTGATCCCATTTCCCTGAGGAGTCTCCTTTGAATGTCATCTCCGAGGTTGTTAGCGCTCAAAATACACGGACAGTCGTTCGCTGCAGACGCTGGGCCGTGCCTAGAGTACGATTTGGCACGGCGCTACCAGTTTCCTAAAACTGTTGGGGGTTGACGCCGTGTCAAACCCAGCCCTTTTCTCCTTCCCACACTTCAGTGTCTGCAGCTCAAATGGCTGTATAATGGCGGTCCGACCTGGATAAAAAAGGCAGAATAAGTCATCACTTTCAGGTCTCTCAGGACAGAACCGGACTCAGCTCCACGATTTTGCCAGTCTTTAGCTTTTGTGAAGCCTGTCTCTCTCTCCGGAGGGTGTCTAGGTCTGTCTAGAACTAGTCTGCAGTTTTGTCCAAAAAGCTGATAGGGCTGATGAGGGAAGGCTAATGGCTAGGCTGCGTCAGAAGAATCTCAAAAAAGATTAATGCGCATAATTACCATTTTGAAACTTCTTGTACCCCTTCCCTTACTGATCAGCTCAAGTGGAGTGTATAACGATTGTTTCGTTCCCGTCTAGGGTCTACTAGGACCGTCAAGCCGGTGAATGTTATCCAAAAGGCTCATGACGAGTGCATGCGATGGGTCTAACGGCAGTCGGAGTACAGAATCGTGATGTGTGAAATGGTGCTGTCAGTACGCCCCCACCTCTCCTAGAGGGAGGGTCTCGGTACGACCTCCCCCCTTCCCCAACACCTACCTACCACTTTCCTACAAGTTCCCAGCTTCCTACCCGTTTTTCAATTCCCACATTTTCCAGTTTTTTACCCATTATCCATTGAGCGGGGAAAGGGGTGGGGGGGGGCGAGGGGTACATAGCCAATGTGGAACGGGAAAAACCACGAAAACTCAAGAAGCGGGCCGGGAAAGTTTTTTCCCAACCAAGGCGGCAAAATTTCTCTCAAAGGCACATACGGCCCCGTCTCCCAACAACGACCGAATACGACCCCCCTCCCCGCAGCCAAGTACGACGTCCCATGTGTTTCACGATGCTGTACCCTGACAGCAGCATCCTGTACCTCCCCACTTTATAGATCTAGGCTCATTTTCCGCTTGGTGGACAACTTTTGCATTTTTGGAGGCCCTGGTCTCTAAAAAAGAGCCTTCATGTGTTAGTCATCAGTCTAGAATTTTGTCGAGGAAGCTACTATGACGACAAGTTGTGCGGTGGAAGGATAGGTGAAGGCTCAACACGATTGTATGCGGTGTTTCTAGCATGGGCACCAATGGTGTAGCGGTATCATTGTACCCTCCCACGGTACAGACCCGGGTTCAACTCCCGGTTGGTGCAAATGTTTTGCATTTTCGTATCATTAATGTCTCTTCGGAGAGGAACTCAATGTGTCCACCACTTGGCAATTCTGTTAGAAATTCCACTGTGAATGCAAAACTCCGCCGTGGAAGGGAATCTAAAAGGTTCACGACGCTTTCATGCGATATTTCCAGGGTGGACAGCCAATGGTGTGATGGTACACTTACACACTCTGGAAGCCCACAACTGGGTTCAGCTGTTGGTTGGTGCAGAATTTCTGCGTTTGTTTGTGTACCACGACTGCTAATTGTGTGGCTCTATGGAATGAAAAGGCGTCGAAGTCTGAGCCCAAGCGTCGCCAAACTGTTAGACTAGACCTGCTGCTCCAGACTGCGAGTCTCACCGACGAGCATCACATCATAGAGAAGAGTCCAGCGACTCGGCTGCTGGAGATTTCGTGAGATGGCATTCGGACGACGACAACGAAAAGGAGTGGAGAAAGCACAGAGTCTTGGTACCGCGTGAAGCATAGCTTATAACTTCATGCACAACACGATCAAAAGCCTTCTCCAAGTCTGAATGAAGAGGCTTCTGCTTCTCACAATGTTTAATCAGCAAGGGGCGAGCGGCAGGTATAGCATCGATGGCACCACTGCCGGCCCCGAAGGCGCACTAACTGGTAGGAAACTGCACGACGTTTCGAATGGCTTTCAGCCCGTGATGGTTAAGTCAGCCGAAGGGAAAACCAGGTAAAACGGTTGCCGACACACCGCGACGGCAAGTTCAAGCGCTGGGCACTACGGTCGCTTCATATGGGCGCAGCGATACCCGCGGTCCAGGGTGTCGCACCCAAATGGGCGACAGGTGTGTGAGAGCCTTTGCGTGCAACAGTCGTGCAAAAAAAACTTCTCCCTCCATCGCGAGAAGGGCAGTTAGGGCAGTTATGGTAGCCTCCCTGTTGGAAATGTAATCTAGACCTTGATTTGGCAGATTGAGGGTTCCTTCAGAGAGGTGGTCAGGACCCGAGAATGCAAACGACATTCACCAGCCGGAGGTTTAACCCCGGTGTGGCCCGTTGAAAGTACAGTGTTACGGCTGCATATACCGCTGGGGCTCGCGGTCAAACACCGCATCCAAGCGTCAGGAACCTCTTGAACGCTGAGTTTTCCCTAACGGGTGGGTGAATTTCTTCCGAAAAGATAGCCAAAATCCGTGAATGCAGAAGATTCGCACCAATCGGGAGTCGAACTTGGGTCTGTACCGTGAAAGGGTAAATGTTACCGTTGCTGTTACACCATTGTGCTCACGCATGAACATGGCACAAATCGTGTTGAACCTTTCACATATCCTTCCACCGTACAACTTGCCGTCACAGTGGCCTTCTCGACAAAATTCCACACTAGTGAGTGACACTTTGGGGTTACTTTTTAGGAAGTAGACAGGCTTTGAAATACAAAACTTTTGCATCAAATGGGAACTGAACCCAGATCTGTACAGTGGGAGGGTACAATGATACCACAACTGGTGCTAACCCTTGGAACATCGCATGATCGTCATGAGCCCTTTAGATTCACATGGACTCACATTTATATTCCCCATGAGGAGCTAGCCAGAATGCGAATTTGCAAAAATCTTCCACCAACAGGGAGTTGAACCTGCTTCTGTAACGCG